ATTAAAAAAAAATGTTGACGTTGTTAAGAACTCTCATCTAAGAGATGAGGAATTGTATCAGTAGTTGTTTTGTTTTATACAGAGGAAAGGATTCAATTGGATTTCTTTGAGCTTATGCTAAGAATATACCTATGAGTCCCTTGTACATCTTAATTTTGCATAATTAACAATTCTTTATAAAAAGAATGAGGTGGGAAGACAAAAATTGAAGAACAAAGTTAAGCATTCTAGGTTATCTCAAAACATGTCAAAGCATTCTTAAGTGTTTTTTTAGAACAAGGGGAATATATTGTGAAATTCTACTTTTGAGAATTACAAACTAAACAAAGTGGTTCACTCAATAGAGAGACCGTGCTTAAGAAAACTTTTGAAACATATCTTGGTTAAGTTTGCATGTGTGCATAGAAAACAATTAAATTAACTAGGGGTGTTAATTAGGCTACGCCAACAACTTTTTGAATTGTCTTTTGCAAGAATCAAAATACAAATTTTGTCAAATTTGGATTCAGGTGTCCTTGTGCCCTTTTTGATTATTGACTATCAATGTAGAGACGTGAAACTAAAGTTTCTTTGATACTTTTAAAAGTAAGAAATATTTTATGTTTATATATTTTTTCATATATAATTTTAAAACTTAAAAAAAAAATATGATAAATAATTAAAACTCTTACATTAAAATTAAAATAATAAAATATTTAAATTTAAATTAAATTATATATTTTATTCTTTTTCTTTTTTTGCTCTCTCCTGTATATATGATTAATGATACTCTCACAAAGTTTTTTTATTTACTTTTAGTTTGTTATTTAATTATGATGGTTTCATTTGTTTAATCTTCAACTTAGTATTTTAATATTCAGTTTTCGATTTTATCTATTTTATTTCAGTTTTTTTTTTTAATTTTACAGTAAATATGTAAAGAGACGTTGGATGTGTGAAACTATGCACACTTCTTGAAAAAAAAAAGATTTATAGTAATATAAGATTTACAATTGTTTATTTATTTCAAAAAAAAAATGTAATAGACTTACTTTTCTTTTATAATAAATATAATGATCCAAATATTAATTTATCTAATTATTATATTATAAGAATGGATAAAAAATCTTTTACATGTTTTATTAAGTGAATACTTATATATATATATATATATATATATAAAGAAAATATCTATTAATTATTATATTAAAAAAATAAATACTTACTTTACATTAGATTATGATTGGGTAGGGTTCGTGATTTAATTGTCTACTTCTCATATGTATTCATGCTAATTGTTTCATCGTGTATTCACTAGTTTTATATATATAGTTGTCATGTTATGTTTTATAAATAAAATTAATTTATACTATTATTATTTATTTTATAAAATGAAAGGACATAATTTTTTTTAATTTCGAATTCTGTCTTATTATTACACATAGATAACCAAACCTCATTTCAAATTTTTTTATTTTATCTCATTATTCATTGCACTTTTTCTTCTGTTAAACAGGTGTTAAGTAACTTATGAAAAGTTAATACTAACCACAATCATAATAAATAGTTGCTGGTATTGAAAATACTATAATCCACAAGGACACATGGATGGGATGAATGAAGTTAAAGAGAGAATCAAAACTATAAAAGTTCAAAATTGAAAAGAGAAAGAACAAAATAATAAATAATTAAAACAAAGTTACGTATATTTTGAAAAAGATGAAACCATATATTGCTGCTATTTCTTCCACGTATTCTACTTGTTCTTCCACGTATTCGACATGCACGACTATAACAATGAACATCATTCTGAACAAAAGTTAAAGCAAAGAAAAATAAATATGAAGAAAAAGAATATCATGATTTGTTTGTGGGTTGGGAGATAGAGTCCACACCTCAAAATGGCATGTCATCTTTCTTTATACCTGTCATTTCAAAAATAAAAAATTAAATTAAATAAAATAGGAGAAAGAATATACTTTGACACTTATGGTATAGTTTTCACCTATCCCTTATACATCTAGATTTGGATATATGATGTATTCTAATCCTCAACAAACACTACCTTTTAGCTATCATTATTTGTTTCCTATTTATATACCTTAGTTTCCCCAGTTTAATATTGATGCATGGCAATTTACAATTTTTTGTATAGAAAACAGAAGTTATTAAATATTAATTAATATGGTAATATGTAGAATACAAATTTATAGAAAATGATATTATATATATAGAAAAAGAGAAATTAGCCTACAAAACAAATGGAGAAGAGAGTTATTTTAGTTTATAATAAAGAAGGGTTTCAATGACACCCACACCACACTACATGATTGGATAGAGAACCTAAAATACCTAATACATGATCAATTTCTTATCACCTCTAATTAACCTAGAAATGATTTCAAAACATAAACAAACAAATAGAAAAGTAGTATCAAGTAATAACAAAACTAAATGTTTTAACTTATGCCATTTATTTTCTAACCATATACATTACATTACATGAGACATTTTTTATAGTTTTGATGATGAAGTTGGTTGCAAGGTGAATACTAGTGTACCAAAAACAAACCTATTAAAATCCTCTAATATGAAGTCAAATTTACAAGAATTTGTTGATAAATGGTTGGTAGGTACCTTGTTTTGTCTTTTTATTGAACAAACATATTAGTTAATTCACATGTTACCATATTTATTTATTTTTCGTAATCGCATTGAAAATCAAAACCCACTTTGCTTAGTTAACCACCCACCATCAATTTAGTTACTTTTTGTTATTAAAAAAACATATATTAATAAAAAAATAATTGATTTGGCATGTGCAAATAAATCTGTTATTATTTTTTGATTATATTAAATAATGTCTTCACTAATTACTTGTCATATCTGTTACTTGCCGTGCATGTCAAATCATTTTTATCTATTGATTGAAGAACCCATTTAATGGATAAATTGACATTAATTCACTCCTTATATTATGTAAATAGTAAAATATAGAGTTCTTTTTATTATCATTCAGCTCATTATTATTTATAATAAATTTGTTTATTTTTATAATCATTAGTTTGGAAGTTATATACATTTATTAATTACATATTTTTTACACTAACTTTTTCTTTGCACTTTTTCCTGTATTTATTAATTGAACATGTTAATTGATATTTGAGTTGTTAAGAGGTTTTATATAATTGTTCATATTATATATATATATATATATATATATATATATAATATTAATTTTTAATTTTTAATTTTTAAAATAATTACTTTACAAATAATTTTTAGTTAACTAATAGTGTAAACTTCTTTACACTATATTGATTAAATTCAAACTACAACTAATAGCTTTTCTAATAATTATATATGATCAATATAAAATTTTAAACATGCTAAAAAATAATCTCAAATGTATTAAAAATAATTATATATAATAACTTGTAATAAAACAATTGCTTAAAGAATTGATATATGCATATCCTTATTTTTGATAACCTAAAAGTTTATTGGAGGTGTCCCTAATTAGATTTTGATTTTCTTCCTCCAAAACCTGCTATATAATAAAGACAAAAAAGAAAAAAAAAAAAAAGTGTTTTTTGTCATTACAAAAAAATGATGAAATTTTCTCTCCAATGAAAGGCACGATCCTCTCCTTCATATTCATTCCCTTCCTCTCTCTTAACCCCTCTCGCTCTTTCTCTCTCCTCTTAGCTCCTTCCTTTCTCCGATCCTTCAATCACCGATTCTAATCATTCTCGCTCCCTTGGATTTCTTGCTCTGGTAATTCAATTTTCTTAAAATCAATTGTTCAATTTTCTTACCTCAAGTTTCATGCCCCTTTCCTGCTACCTAGGGTTAAAATTTTGTCATTTTTGTTCTCTGATGAAAGGAACGAACTTGCATTCTTGGGTTGTGATCACATTCACCCGATTATAGTTTCAGACATTTTCCGCTTGTAAATTTGCCTTTTTGAAGAAAAAATTAAAAAAGCCTTAATCTTTGTGTGAATTTTCAACAGAGTTGATTTTGGGGGTGTTCTCGTAAGTTATATTGATCTCTGAAACTTAGAAGCCGCAAGCTCTTGTTTTGATGATAATAAGGTACGGTTTGTTATCTGTTCTTTGATGTTGTCTGGTCGGTGATGAATTTGGGAGGTTGATATGGGTCAAGTACTTTCTGTTTGTTTGTGTCCCTTTAAAGAAAGGACTTTTATTTTTTTTTCTCTTCTGGTCTGATTTTTGTACTTGTTTATGTGTGCGCTTAATTGTTCTTATAATCTACAGGAGCTATGAAATTCTTTACTTTGAACTTAACATATTTTAATGATTACAAGGTTTTTGAATTTCATGTGTTTTAATTCAATTACAGAGTCATTTTTAGCACACCTGAAGGAATTCTGCCAGGCTTGGCTAGTTTTTAACTGAGAAGGATACCTTGGTGTTTTTGTGTTTGGACTTGCTATGTTCATACACCATTTGCTCTCTCTTGAATGATGAGGCTGCATGTTACATGTCCATTGAATGTTTCATTAATTATTTCACATATTTGTTGAAGGGATTCTTTAATGAATGTTAACTTACCCCTTGTGATTAATAGGGTGTTTGTTTCTGCATCGTTATTGTATGTTGCATGCGATACACAGAAGTGACAATATACAGCTTCTGTGTAATTGAAGAAAATTGTTGCCACTACATAAATGTATGTGTGTATTGGGCGGTTGTCCAAAAATACACCTAGTTTCTTCATCTTGCAACCTTTTCTCATTGAGAAAATTAAATCACGAAAAAGATAACCATATAGAGGTGACTATTGTTCTATTAAAAGAAGCTTGTATGTAACATGGAATTCTGAAAATTTTTCCATAATGTTGACATGAAATATTAGAAGTTTTATCTTGTTGCAGAATATTTGCTTTGTTGCATACAGATTTGGTTTCAATGTTTTGTTCCCCGAACGTGTTTCTGACTGGATTCATTTACTCTGCTTGGAATTAGGATTAATTTGCATCGAGAAATCTCTACATTATGGACCAAATAACGGATTCAGAAATGGATCAACAGAGACAAGGCTATCATCATTCTGAACCCTGTATCCTTACGAGAGGAGCCACAAATATCTCACAGCCGAATAATATGCATGCAATGGTGAGAGCGTCTGGGAACACCACTAATGTTGATTCTCACTTTCTGCCAGATGCTTATGACAATGCTAGGGTGTATGGTGTTACACAATACAACGGCATTCAGCCTCCCCATAATCTTGATATGGGTGTGCCAGCTGCAGCCAACTTGTATTATTCTGGCATTAATCCTTCTTCTAGTGCTGGCGTTTTCACTCTGCCGCAAAATCATAGAGCCTCTGATCAGTTGCCTGGTTCAAGTACATTTGCTGTTGCTGGGGTTTCTTCTGATAATTTTGGAAGAAGTTCTGGTTTCATGGATGATGTTAGAGGTCCCTACAAAAGGAAAATTGCTGAAGGGATGAGAGGAAATTACCAATATTTTAATGCATCATCTAGCTCTTCAATTGCTCCTCCTAATGCAAGACACACTTCTGATGGTATTGCTATGATGGATACTGCACCCTTTTCATTCCGCATCCCTTCACTTGTGGAAGTAGGACCTCATGCTAGTGCATGGACCAGGGCAGGTGAGTCTATTATGGTGCATGACCATAATCATTTGATTCATGGAAACTATTTAGGGCAGCACTTTCAGCCAGCTGCTCCTCCATGGTTGGATCAGCAGTTGAACAGTAACAATAGTGACGGCCATACTACACCCTGGAATCAGTCGCTTCCAATGCCTTATGTACAAGGTATTTTTTTTCCTCTTCATGTGTTTTGTGGTTTTCCTTTTAGTGATTTACCATCATTAATTCATTATTTGGATGTTGTGTTAGTGAATAATTTGAAAAGCTCTTTCATGTTTTCTCATGAAAAGTGTTAATTACAGCTTCATGAATGTAGTTTCTCAACCAGACAATAAATTTATGAGGAGTCTTGATTTTTAATAACACTAATTTTGCACCTAAGACTAGAGTAAATATAGGTGTTTTTGTGTGAATGATCTTGCACCTATTCTGTCAATGAAGGACCTAACGAAGTGCTCAAATTTTTATTTGAATTTGTTGTGTGGTTTGCTTAAGAGTCTAGTCTGTCTGACTCTATCCATTCTAATTTCAGCACCCCCTGTAAATGGAAGTTCATTAGATAGTGCAAGTATGGGTTTGCAGAGATATCATGATCCAGCTGGAAACCGAAATGGCCTCAGGTTTCCTCATCCTCTTCCTGTCAATCAACAGCACCATAATTATCATCACCCAGCACTGCCTATGCAAGGAGTAAGAGGTCACAATATCAACTTTCACCCTGCAGTAACTGCAGCATCATTTAGAGTTCCAACAAATCCTTCACGGGGTGTTGCTGTCCCAGTACAGCCTGGTTTTGAGATAGGTCCTAGACATGTTGGCCCTGCACCATCAGCTGGCCTCCGGATTTACCGACCTCATAGAGGGACTGTGCCTGAGACAACTCTTGGACATCGAAGTCTTCCACCTGTGGGCTTCCTCCAAGTCGATGTAATATTTCCTGTTCTCTTAATAGTAGTAGAAAGAATAATACTTTTTATACATAATAAATATATTGATTTTCTTGTTGATTAAAACTTGTGTAGGATGTTGCTTTAATTGATGAAGTAGGAAATTTAGTTGACCATCACAGAGATATGCGCTTGGACATAGAGGATATGTCTTATGAGGTAAGTATACAAAGATTGGTATTGTATTTTCCTGTCAATGCACAGACCATGTGTGAAGTCTAGGATATTTAGAGGTTGTAGAAAATTGTAAATAGTTTTCACTTGAAACACATGACAGGATCTTCTTGCATTGGGTGAGAGGATTGGTAATGTAAGCACCGGTTTATCAGAGGAAACAATTGCAACTCAATTGAAGACAAAAACATATTCAATAAGTGCTACTGGTATTAATCTGGAGGAGGAAGCTTGTGATGATCAGGAAACAGATTCTTGTATAATATGTCAGGTATGAGCATTTAGCAACACATTTCATAAGTTATTTTAAGACCTTAACATTTCATAGTCTAACCTTGTGCTCTCTATTTCATGTACAAATGAGTCACCCCCTGCTAATTGGACTGTTTATTTCACAGGAAGAATTCAAGAACCAAGAGAAGATTGGAGTTCTTCGATGTGAGCATGAATATCATGCAGATTGCTTAAGGAAATGGTTGGTTGTGAAAAATGTCTGCCCCATATGCAAATCAGAGGCTTTGACTCCTGGAAGGAAGGATGTATAGAAACCAAATCAAACATCTCTTTCTCTTCCTGCCTAGTGCCTAATTTATTTTTGAACAGAATTCATATTTTGTTATGTATTTTGTATATGTACTTGCACATATATAGACGTCATACTGCCCAACTCATTTATTGTTGGCACCAGAACTTTGTATCTATCAACTTGTACAGACTTTGTTCTGTTTGATGAAGTAACTTCAGGTAATCATATCACCGCCTGCATCATTCTTCATTTCGACATGCATGGGGTTGCCTAGTTTATATATTTTGTCGCTTGTGGTTTTGGATGAGTAGAAAAAGAAGTTCGACTTTAAACGAAATTGATTTTATCAAGGTGCTTCTGTTTTATATATTATGATTGTGGTTCTGGGATGAGCCAATTTTTTTTTCCCATCATATTCCCTTGTAATACATTGTTGTGGTTTTGAATGAATGAAAGATGGAATCGATTTTGGATAAAATAATTTTTGAAATGATATAGGACTTAATAGACACTTTCACTTTTAAAAGCTAGTAATAATTTAATATATATTTTTACATAAAATATAGTGATTTAGAATTGTTTTATATCAAAATGAATTTTGAATTCAGCGCTAGAGTTTGAGTGATAATATTTATTTAGAATTACTTCAACTGATTTTTCAACGAGATTTTGGCCAAGTTAACGAGGAAATAAACACGCTGCACTGTCTCTTCATGTGATTTTTCAATTGAATGCTAGGTGATGTTCTACGACTAGAAGTTTTCACTTCAAATAAATTCATGATATAAATGAACTACCATTGTTGACTTCTCCAACCCACATGGGATATAGATAATTCTCACATTTACAGAATGTGTAAACGCGTCTCAGTGGAAGTCTTTGTTGGCTGGTTTTCCACACATGGCTTAATGTTTTTGCACGACATTCTCATGTCCCTTACGTTGGAAAAAATATGCAGTCCATAAGGAATAGTGTATTTTTAAAAGCACGTTCAAAATAAGAAAGTGATATTCTGAGCCCTTGTGAAAATGAAATCAAACCTGGTCAGACTTTGGTCATAAACTGTGTGGTGACCTGGTCACAGTTTGACCACCTTATGTGGTCAACAAACACTCCACCAAATTGTAAGGGAATACTAAACGTTGCGTTTTACTTGCCACAACAAATTTAGGGTCTAACTTTCAATTAGGGTTTACAAAGAGCATTATTCTTAGGTTAAATATATTTAGATCCAACTTATCACAGAACAATTCATTTATTTCTTTAATTAGTAACATAAATCTATTTATCAAGTGTATTAATAAAATAAATTTATGTAGCTATCCATTATAAAAGAAATTAAATTGAATCTAATCCATCTATTTAATTTTATAGATAATTAACAATCATGTTATGAAAATAATAAAAGATGTGAATTGAAGGATTGTCACATGTATAATAAGATCTTACAAAACATGCAAAATTATGTTTAAAAATAAATGTTAAAAGTTATTAATATTAGACAACTTAAATTGAAAATTCATAAGCATATATTTATAAATTATAACTAATAAATTGAAAACAACTCATGATTAGCCCTACAATTTAAAACACAAGAAAAAGGAATTTACTAGCCTAAATCTTTATTCCCATGAATTGGAGTAAATCTATCGAGTGTTCATCATAATATCTGTTGTCCAAAAGAAGCTTCAAGTACGTGATTAATGTTTCATTAATAACACACTATCTTTTTCTGGCATCAATGTATAGTATATTAGTAAATTGGAACTTAAAATTTTACAAAATTAATATGATTGTCGTGAAATTATATAATAATAAAAGATACTAATAAATTATTACATAAAAGGAAACTTTTTACTTGATTTTATAACGAGATCTAAAAAACCGATAAATTTTAAAAATGCTGGTGAAGAAAAATCTATCCAGTATTTCATAGTTTGAGAGAAGAAACTCATCTAATTAGAAAAGTTAGAAATTTCCATTATGAAATTAAGGACTAAAAGAAAAAGAAATTCTTTTATAATTTTGTAAATAAGATCTAAAAATTAACTTTCAATTCTAAATACCGCAATTGATTTATTTATTTTTATTTAACATTATATTATATATAACATTAATAAGTTAATGTCCACTTCACAATGTGATGTTAATTTTATTTAATATTCAATTTTTGTTATTTTAATTTAAAATAAGATTACTATAATATTAAAATAAATAATATAGTATAAGGGATGTGGTAGAAAAAAATACAGAGATGGGAACAAAATGGGATTAACGAAAACTGTGATGGTATGTTTCTATTTTATTTTATAGAAAGATTATAATTAAGATAACATTATAAAATAATTTTATTGTAAATGTATTTTATTATTTTTAAATTTATTAGAACATTTTAAAGGAGTTGGTAGGTAAATATGTTTAAGAATAAAAATAAATATTTTATTATAAGTCTTTATATGTTATTTAAAATGAAAAGAAAATTTGATTAATTTTTAGCAACTCAAGATTTATAATAAAATATTAATATATATTCCTAATTGATATAGGAGATTTCCTAATGAGTTAATTGGATTTTTTTTCTCACTAATTATTTTAATATTGATTTTTTATTATTTTAATTAAAGAATTATATATATTAGTATTAAGATAAAGGAGGGGTCAAGAAGTTAATTGTTTAAAAAAAAAGGTTATTCTTCGTTTAGCCTTTCAACTTTCTATATCTAACTATTCAAAAGAAAATGAAAGAAAGTGATGAGTAACCTTCTTAAAATTATTGTAGGAGTGATTCATTCTTTCTCTTAACATTAATAATTTATCTATCTATATTAATTTGCTATTTAGCAAAAATTAATTGTCATTGCGCATAATCTAATAATGTATTTTCATTTCCATTTAATAAAGTGATGTAATAAATATTTCTTTTCAATTAATTTTTCTCCATCTAATAAATATTATTAAAAATCTATTTTAATTTTCCAATTTAAAAAAATAATTATTCTAATTTTTACAGTTTCCAAGAGCATGCTTGCATTCTCATTTAATTAAAACATGCATATACTGTCAAGGTAATATGCATCGAAAGTACAATGTTAATTGCTTCGTATAAATAAACTTCTTTTCAACACAGTTCCCCTCAAATAAATATTATTAAAAATATCATCATTTGTCATTAAAATTTTTTATTTATTTTTCAATAATTATAATTAGGATATTCGCTATTATGTTTGATGATTTAATTAAACATAAAAATTTAAAATTTAAATGTGATTAGGTTATGATTGGTTTTAATTTAAGAAAAATAAAATCCAAACTAAACTAAAGTGATATTTTACAGTTTCGATTAAGCGTTTTCTTATAAATTTTTTATTATAAAATGATTAAATATATTATAATAAATAATTATTAAAATAGAAAACAAATTATAATAGATTGTAATATTCATAATTTTAATTTATTTTTATATACTTTCACGTTTAATTTAAAAAATGAAAAATATATATCCTAAATTTTATGAAATT